TATGTATTTGTATAGTCCAAGTATGGCTTTATTTGCCTAGTTACACTGGTCCAGCTTGGACCAAATTGGTATGTGTGCCATAACTGACCAACCCCCCCCCCCCCCCCCCAAAAGCTGGGAATCATTGTAGTAGACATCTCTTCTCCAATGATCTCCACTGGCCAGGTCCCTTGTCAAGTCAATTCCCTAATACTAGTGGTGCACTGAATTTAAAATTCTGTCGTTGAAAACGAAAAAAAAAAAAAAAAAAAAAAAAAAAGCAATTGGCCGAAACCCAAAATGCAGTTTTTAAAAATTAGAATATATTTCTTGGAAAAAAAAATACACTTTGGATAAAAAAAAAAACCCAAAAAACTCTTTTTGGTCATACTTTAAAATGACATGCTTGTGGAATGGCGAGAAACTGTGGTTCTTAAATCTCAATGGGCGACTCTTTAAAAAGGCTACAGGTTCACAGTGTAGTTACAGAGGTCTAGTGCGAGAATTATTGCTCTTACGGTCCTGGCGATACCTCACGTGTGTGGTTTGAACACATTTACATATGCGGGCATGGCCTACGTATGCGGTCACCACTATGTGCAAGCTGTGGGGGGGGGGGGGGGGGGGGGGTTCACTTTAAACTTTTTTCATTTTGCACTGTCCCTTTAAAAAATGTTTTAATCACTTAAAAAAAAAAAAATAACCGGAAGTGACATCGCTCCAATCCTCCAAGCGAATAGAGATGAGTGGAGGCCATCTTCCCTTCACTCATCTCTATGCCCAGCGCCAGGATCGTTCAATGGTTTCTCAACTAAGGCTTCTTCTTGGAGATACAGCAAAGCAAAAAATAAAAAAGCTGGTAAGTAAATTTAAAAACTGGCATTGACATAGCAGCAGCCTGTGAGGGAGCCTGAGTGTATACACACTGCTCCCTCACTGTATACACTGCCCCCCTCCCCTACAAAGAGGACCTGTCACTCATACCATCACATAGAGGACTACTGGTCCCATATGTGATAGCAATAAAATCATAAGTTAAAAAAGTAAAAAATAAAAATTTGAGCCTCCCCACATACGCAGACATTCTGGTTTTCAGCCACATGCATTCTGAATTTTAGGTATTGGCACCAGATTTTTCATTTTGGTGCACCACTAATTTCTACCTGCTTTGTGACTTTAAGGCTGGCCATACATTATACAAATGTTCCTTTTGATTTACCTTGACTACAAACCTAAACACTTCTAATTTGCAATCAGACAGGTCTTTTCACTACATAGTTGAAGGTAAATCTAAAAGAAATCAGAAAAAAAAAAAAAAAATTTTTGGATGGTCAGCTATAGATATTCCAAGCTTGCAGGTGTTACACCTCCCCCCCCCCCCCCCCAGTGCTTGCCAACAAGGTTGTTTGGGGTGTTGTCCCAATTCAATCACAGGTGAATAATCTGAATGTCAATGGACAGGACAATGGAATGCCACTCCAGAAAAGATCACCATTCCAGGAAAACACAATGGACATAATCAAATCAGGAGTAACATTAACATTTCTATGTGAAGTCCATTTACAACTGCAGCCAAGGCCACCTCACACCTACAGGATGTAAACAAAGTCAATTATCTCTGATAAGAAGGCAGAGGAGTAATGAATGGAGAGCAGTGCACAGGTATGCAACTTCATTCACACCTCCCTCCAAACCTGAGAGAATAGTAAACATTTCCAAAAAGGAGCCAGACTGAGTGTAAACACAGGTCTGATAACCAGAGGGCGGGGGAAGAGCTGTGTACCTGTGATAGTGATAGACCAGAGGGGTGCTGATAGTAAAATAAACACATTCAATATTAAAGATCATCTTAGATACACTTAAACAATATGCTTGAAAATTACAATTCATGTTTTGTTTTCTTCTTGTATCTCCTAATGAAGGGAACTTATGTCCAATGAAATGTATAGTTTGCCTTCTGTCATTTTTAGGTTTGATCAATATATTCTGGAGAGTGATGGGTGCTGCTGCTTCTGGTTCATATACACATAGGATGGAAGAATGCCAACAGGCTGTGCAGTCATTGGGACACGGATATCAGTCTGTATTGCTCAGCAAGTAGTCAGGGGACAGACATGATCCTGTGTTCAGGGATCAGTAAACAGATGTGATCCTATATCACTTAGACCCGTTCACACTGCTGAAAAACGCAGCTCTCTGGAAGGGCACACAGAAAAATAATTATGCGCCAATATATCAGCCAAAAATCGGGTTTGCTGAAGAGGAAAAAAAAAAACAAACACACCACACAATCTTCTGATGCTGCTTTTTTCTTTCAAATTATGGTGCAACATATTTAGGTTTATACATTTTATATCCAATTTTTTTTTGTATGTTGCTTTCAATAAAAGTTCACATTACTGGGAAAAAAAAAAAAAAAAAAGTAGTCCATTTTGGTTTTCAGGGCAAATTGCTGATCTAGAATTCTCATTTTGGTGCACCACTACAGAAAACGCTTTTCCATTTGCTCCGCAGCGGTCATCTGCGGTACGGAGGTCTTCAACACTGCAGCACCATTCCACAGGTGAACTGACAAAAACGCACTGAACACACCTGCACCAGGGGGAATCTGGAGTTGGGGGGCAATTACAAGATCCGACCTCTCTATACAGCTCTGTGCAGCAACTGAAAACCGCTGCTCTCATTGCTACGGCTCTCAGCTGTTGCACAGAGTCATACAGGGATATATGTTCATGTAATTGACCCCCCTTCCACACACACCCCATTGGATACCCCCTACTCTCGGGTAACCAGTGTGCTTCCCCCAGCCCCCCTTGTCTCGATGCAGCACTGCTGGACTTCCTCCTCTCCTGCCAGCTGCTGCATGGGGATATGTCAGGATGGAGAGCAACGGCTGGTCAATGTCATTTACTGGCCCATTCTTTTTCTAAATTAACACAGTGTGTGATCAGAACCGATCACAGGAATTGATTTACTAAAACAGCAGAGTTCAAAATCTGGTGCAGCTCTACATAGAAACCAATCAGCTTCCAGGTTATATCAAAGCGTAATTGAACAAGCTGAGATTACAAGTGGATTGGCTACCATGCATAGCTGCACCAGATTTTATTGGAAAAAAAAAAAAAATCTGTGTTCATTCATAACTAGGAGCATAGCAAATGGTTTCCTATGCTTTGTGAATGAACAGGTGCCCATTTCCTGTTAATTTGACTGAAAAAAAAAAAAAAAAAAAAAAAAAATTACCAAAAAAAATAAAATACTACTGACACCATCCACTGCCGATATGCCCCCTCTCCTCCTCCCTTGCCACAAAGAAACATTGTGAGAAAAAATAAAATTGTAAAAAGATGCAATAAAGTAGAATTTAAAAAAAAATAAATAAAATCAAGGGCTCAGTCACACGGGTTCTCTTACACACAAATTGTGAATGAGCCATTAACTCTATGGGGATGCAGCGGCGGTAGGAAAACAGCCCCGGATCCTAGTCTGAAACATGTGCACGTGCGTGTGAATAGCTCCAAATACAAAGTCTGTGTTTGGTGCTGTACACCTACATCCATGTGCCTGTCCAAGACCTGTGGCTGTGTTCATCCAGTTGCTGCGTCCTCATGGACCATAAAGCTGCCTGCACACAGATCCATCAAATAAAATACCAGCTTCACAATGTACAGCCCACAGAACCCATGTGAGTGAGCCAATACCTCATCTACACACACAACTGCATTATCTTTAGCAGGAAGTTTCATAAGTTAAGTTTGTGCTGCTATTAAGTTTATTGTACTTTTGTGAAAAGGAACATGACCCAGGAAATTGTCAGAAGACTCAGGAGAAAAAAAAAAAAACAACAAAAAAAAACCCCAAACAAAAATAAACATAGCTTAAAAAAAATAAATAAAATAATTTAAACCACAGGTGAATGGAAGTGCTCACCTGCATTTTTTTAAATCACAGAAGTATAAAGCAGCCCACAGGGTACAGTCACACTTGTGACTACACTGCACCTCCAATCCGATACCAGAAACACAACAGGGGATCCCAGGATCAGATATGGGAGCCAGTAGCCTCTCACTGGGCTGCCCCACAGGATATTATCCTGCATTGCCCAGTGTACAGATATGACCCTGCATTACATTGCTCAGCAGTCAGGGTACAGATACAACTATGAATTGCTCAGTGATCAGTGTACAAATTCCACCATGCATTGCTCACCAATCAGCACACTGATTTTAGCCAGCATTGCTCAGTGATCAGTACAGATCCTATTATGTGCTGCTGAATGGCCAGGGCACAAAACTTGACCTTGTATTACTCAGGGATCAGTACAGATATACATTGCTCAGTGACCAGTACATATATTATTGTCCAGTGGTCAGTACATATATTATTGTCCAGTGGTCAGTACATATATTATTGTCCAGTGGTCAGTACATATATTATCGTCCAGTGGTCAGTACATATATTATTGTCCAGTGGTCAGTACATATATTATCCTGTATCACAGGGTAGTCAGTACAGATATACAGTGATCAGTACAGACATTGCCCTTGCATTACTCAGTACAATTCCTGCATTGCTCAGTAATCAGTACAATTCCTGCATTGCTCAGTACACAGATATTATATTGCCCTGCATTGCTCAATGATCAGTAATATCACATTATCCTGCATTGCTCAGTACAGGCAGGAGCCCTGCATTACTCAGTGGTTAGGCCCCAACAATGGGGTTCCGGGGTACAGGTGGCTCGGTAGGCCGACCGGTGATTGGCTGAGGCCTGTGGCCGGTGTAAGGAGCATGCGCAGTGACGGTAACGGTGCAGCCAAGCAGGGAGGAGGGCAGCGCGAGCCGTACTGCGCCCACGTGACCTCCAGGGATACGCCCCTATCCCTCCGCATCGCCCGCTCTATTGGCCGCTAGGCCCGTCAGTCAGCTGGGAGATTTTTTTTTCTTCCCCGTTGCCGGTAAACAGGTTATCGTCCCCCGCCCGCCTTACCCCGATCCCGCCACCGCTCAAACCGTCTTACCTGCCGGTGCCTGCACGCTCTTGGCTTCGCGCCGGGGGAAGGGGGTTTCCGTTGGGGCTCCCGGGGGAGGAGACAGCCATGGCCGACGAGGCAGGTTTGCGGTTCGCTGGGGCCGGCTGTTGCTGCTGCTTGATCATTTTCCGAAGGAGGACAGAGAGATCTGATGATAGCGACTGCGGCGAGAGAGAATAAAACCAACAGCGGCGCGCCTCACCTCAACCGCCGCCACACTGCGCGTGGACAGGCACAGAGGCGCTCGGGGCACGGGACTACCCGGCCGTCCAATAGGAGAACTCGCCGGGGAGAGGCGGGACGTCGACTAACCAATCGGCTGCCAGGAAGGAGCTCGCGAGCGGCTGCTGACCCTTCGCTTTGCGATTAGAGCACCTTCGGCGCGCGCGGCAAGCTGGCGGGGAGGGGCCTGGCCTGTGAAAGCGAACAAATGGGACAGTGCCGGGAGGGAGGGTCGACTCTAAGCCTGACCAATCGCGCCGTGAGGGAGGGGCTAAGGCTTGCCTACCTGGCTGTTCTGGTAGAAAAGGAGGGGGTTGGGTAAGCGGGAGGGTTCCGGGCTCGTGCACGATGGGGAAGAGGCGGGCGCAAAAATGGCGGCCGCTTCCTCTCCCTTCATGACGTCACGTAGCCCGTGGCCTAAGTAAGAAAAAAAAATGTCCCTTTTACGTGACTGGGGGCACGTTAGTGCCTCCTACCCCCCTGTGTACTCTTCCTGGATCCTATGCGAGGGCTCATGCGGGTATTTTTTTCCTTTGAAGACGCCATGCTTACCCTCATTACATCATCTGGGCCCCTTTTACGTCATGTTTTCAAATAGGAAGGAGTGTAGTTGCTATGGACAACAAATCTTTTAGCAGAAGTAATAAACATTGTCATAGAAAACCACTTTCTTGGCAGGTGGTTACTATGGGTGGCACCAGATCACTTTCCAGGCAGGTGGTTGCTATGGGTGGAGCTAGTTCACTTTTCAGTCAGGCAGTTGCTATGGGTGGCACCAGTTCACTTCCTGTCAGGTGGTTGCTATGGGTGGCGCCAGTTCACTTTACAATCAGGCTGTTGCTATGGGTGGCACCAATTCACTTCCTGTTAGGTGGTTGCTATGGGTGACGCTAGTTCACTTTACAGTCAGGTGGTTACTATGGGTAACGCTAGTCCACTTTCCGGTCAGGTGGTTACTATGGGTAACGCTAGTCCACTTTCCGGTCAGGTGGTTACCATGGTTAATGCTAGTCCACTTTCCGGTCAGGTGGTTACTATGGGTGACGCTAGTCCACTTTCCGGTCAGGTGGTTCCTATGGGTGACGCTAGTCCACTTTCCGGTCAGGTGGTTCCTATGGGTAACGCTAGTCCACTTTCCGGTCAGGTGGTTACTGTGGTTGACGCTAGTCCACTTTCCGGTCAGGTGGTTCCTGTGGGTGACGCTAGTTCACTTTCCGGTCAGGTGGTTACTATGGGTGACGCTAGTCCCCTTTCCGGTCAGGTGGTCACTATGGGTAACGCTAGTCCACTTTTCGGTCAGGTGGTTACTCTGGGTAACGCTAGTAAACTTTCCAGTCAGGTGGTTACTATGGGTAACGCTAGTAAACTTTCTGGTCAGGTGGTTACTATGGGTAACGCTAGTAAACTTTCTGGTCAGGTGGTTACTATGGGTGACGCTAGTCCACTTTCCGGTCAGGTGGTTCCTATGGGTAACGCTAGTTCACTTTCTGGTCAGGTGGTTACTATGGGTAACGCTAGTCCACTTTTCGGTCAGGCGGTTACTATGGTGATGCCTCATATTTTGGCACACTGGGTAACCATGAGACTTCTCTAAACAACCTGGTGTGATGGTACCATAACATCCTATTGTGACAGTTGTGCAGGGGCCGGTCAGCAGCCCTGGAGGCAGACCGTTTGCATTCAGGGGGCCTCTCTCCCACCCCCTGCGTGTTTGTCATACTAGGACAAGCGGCTGTGTCCCCGTAGTGCAGCCTAGGCTGTGTGAGGCTCCCGCGCGACATAAACAAGGGTCCATTCCAACTGTACGGGCCACAGCGCCTATGTGAATGAGGCCTTTGTGGCGATGCAGCACGCCCTGGCAAGTGGTGATAGGTTACCGCCCTCTGTGGTGAGCAGCAAATCCGGTGCATTGGCTTTCCGTTGCCCTAGCTTAGGTTTGTACATCTGTGTCTTTGCGCACTGCCATCGTCAGCACATGTTCATGCACTAGAAAGGCACCTGATTTTCAGGAGTGGGACGGTGCGGAGCAAAGCATAAACAGATCACGTAAATGAATTGATAACCCTCCTGATGTGTGTTTTTGTGCGTTATATCACACAGGAGTGACCAGGGACTCCATGCGCTCAAAGAGAAAGGGCACCACCACTCGCTATGGCAACATTCACATGTCCGTAAAAGAGCGCATTTATAAGCGTTCAACTTTCCTGATTAGGAGGTCCTCCAGTGCAACCGTCAGCATCATCAGAGGGCCACACATAGGATTCAGTGAATATCCAGTGCCAGAGACTGCAGACACACAACGGGATATAGCCAAGAACTGATGGCAGGACACAAGAGATGGTCAGAGACTGCAGTCATGATACAAGAGATGGTCAGAGACTGCAGACATGATAGAAGAGATGGTCAGAGACTGCAGGCATGATACAAGAGATGGTCAGAGACTGCAGACATGATACAAGAGATGGTCAGAGACTGCAGACATGATACAAGAGATGGTCAGAGACTGCAGGCATGATACAAGAGATGGTCAGAGACTGCAGACATGATACAAGAGATGGTCAGAGACTGCAGACATGATACAAGAGATGGTCAGAGACTGCAGGCATGATACAAGAGATGGTCAGAGACTGCAGGCATGATACAAGAGATGGTCAGAGACTGCAGGCATGATACAAGAGATGGTCAGAGACTGCAGGCATGATACAAGAGATGGTCAGAGACTGCAGACATGATAGAAGAGATGGTCAGAGACTGCGGACATGATACAAGAGATGGTCAGAAACTGCAGACATGATACAAGAGATGATCAGAAACTGTGGACATGATACAGGAGATGATCAGAGACTGCAGACACGATACAGGAGATGATCAGAGACTGCAGACACGATATAGGAGATGATCAGAGACTGCAGATGTGATACAAGAGATGGTCAGAGACTGAGGGTGCAAAACAAGAAAGGGTCAGAAACTGCAGAGATGATCATAGACTGCAGACATGATATAGGAGATGATCAGAGACTGTAGCTATGATACAAGAGATGTTCAGAGACTGCAGACATGATAGAGGTGATAGTTTGAGATTTCGGACTTGATACAGGAGATGGTCAGAGGCTGTGAACATAATACAGGGGGTTTTTGGAGAGAGGGGACATACTTCAGCAGACAGTCATTGACTGGAGACATGTTACATGAGACTGCTGGAAATCACTGCTATAACCCTGAGGACCAAACAAAGAGTGTCAAAGGACTGCAGGTGACCTCCAGGCCACAGGTTGGGCACCGGGGGTTTAGTTGTTCCTATTTTAAAGCCGGTTTAGTGGCATTTACCCAAGTCTCGCCGCACTTAGAGAGCCAACCTGGATCTGGGATGCACAGAGTGGTGTGTGCGCCAGATCACCGTGTGTGCCAAAAATGGTGTACATTCGTTTTTTCTAACCTTTTCCCATCCCTTCTTCGTTTATAAATGGCGATGGGTTGAAGTGACTGTGGCAGGATCACGGCTGCAGCTACAGTCATAAAACTCAGTGTTGTTCTCTACACTTGTGTGACATCAGAAACCAGAAGCGACGAGGATTTCACCACTTCCGGTTTGATGTTAACCAGCCATTACCGGATTGTGAAAGTATCTAATCACACCCATCACAGTTTGATCAGATGCTTTGGAGGCCAGAGGAAAGATATGTATGGGGTCTCATAGACTTCAGATCTCTCCATAAACATTATTTATTTCAGGTACTTATATATCGCCGTCAATTTATGCCGTGCTGTACATACAGTCAGGTCCATAAATATTGGGACATCGACACAATTCTAACATTTTTGGCTCTATACACCACCACAATGGATTTGAAATGAAATGAACAAGATGTGCTTTAACTTCAGACTGTCAGCTTTAATTTGAGGGTATTTACATCCAAATCAGGTGAACGGTGTAGGAATTACAGCAGTTTGCATATGTGCCTCCCACTTGTTAAGGGACCAAAAGTAATGGGACAGAATAATAATCATAAATCAAACTTTCACTTTTTAATACTTGGTTGCAAATCCTTTGCAGTCAATTACAGCCTGAAGTGTGGAACGCATAGACATCACCAGACACTGGGTTTCATCCCTGGTGATGCTCTGCCAGGCCTCTACTGCAACTGTCTTCAGTTCCTGCTTGTTCTTGGGGCATTTTCCCTTCAGTTTTGTCTTCAGCAAGTGAAATGCATGCTCAGTCGGATTCAGGTCAGGTGATTGACTTGGCCATTGCATAACATTCCACTTCTTTCCCTTAAAAAACTCTTTGGTTGCTTTTGCAGTATGCTTTGGGTCATTGTCCATCTGCACTGTGAAGCGTCCAATGAGTTGTGAAGCATTTGGCTGAATATGAGCAGATAATATTCCCGAAACACTTCAGAATTCATCCGGCTGCTTTTGTCAGCAGTCACATCATCAATAAATACAAGAGAAGCAGTTCCATTGGCAGCCATACATGCCCACGCCATGACACTACCACCACCATGCTTCACTGATGAGGTGGTATGCTTAGGATCATGAGCAGTTCCTTTCCTTCTCCATACTCTTCTCTTCCCATCACTCTGGTACAAGTTGATGTCGGTCTCATCTGTCCATAGGATGTTGTTCCAGAACTGTGAAGGTTTTTTTTGGATGTCGTTTGGCAAACTCTAATCTGGCCTTCCTGTTTTTGAGGCTCACCAATGGTTTACATCTTGTGGTGAACCCTCTGTATTCACTCTGGTGAAGTCTTCTCTTGATTGGTGACTTTGACACACATACACCTACCTCCTGGAGAGTGTTCTTGATCTGGCCAACTGTTGTGAAGGGTGTTTTCTTTACCAGGGAAAGAATTCTTCGGTCATCCACTACAGTTGTTTTCCATGGTCTTCCGGGTCTTTTGGTG